TTAATTTCATAGTATAGGGATGGCTAAAGCAAAAGAACAGCAAAAGGCCGATTTATACAAATGAAAATATGAGGTATGAATGGTGATGGCCACTCATTCTTTTTTACTCATCTTTTTTTAGCCAGCAGAATTCTGAAAAGTGATAGTTTAGAAACAATGATTTAACCCGTCATCATCAGTTTTTCACTCTGGTAAATGAGGGAATCACACCATCATAAAGAAGTTGATATTTAACACATCATTACATCAGAAGATCCTGATCTTTTTTGTTTATTTTTCAGAGGAATGGTTATTTGTAATTACAGATCAAGTCAAGTCAAGTCAAGTAGGCTTTTATTGTCAATTTCTTTACATGCGTTGGTCATACAAAGAATTGAAATTTCGTTTCTTGCTTTCCAGTGCAGACATAGATATAAATGAGATAAGTTAGATGAATTGGACATATAATAAGAAATTTGTGTGATATAATAGATATAAAGTGATCAATTGTAATGTGCAATATTTAATGACCTACCAACAGCAATGCAAAATAATCCACATTTAATCACATAAGGAAAAGAAAGCTTTCAGCACTATAACTTGAAAACAAATCATTTGAGGGGTCATGTCTTGAGTTTTGATTCTTAGTTCTTAGTTGTCTTAGTTCTGTTCTGGTGTTTCAGTCTCTTTGTCTTATCATTTCCTGTTTTATTTTGAAATAGCGACTCTCCTCTTGTTTCAGGCCACTTGCTCTTCCTCTTGTTGTACCATGTTGGAATCTCTATTGTCCCTCCTGAAAAATAAAACAACAACAAATAGTGCCTCCCCAACCCAGTGGGAAGCCATAAAAACCAAAAACACAAAATATTTCAATCCAGCCAAAAAAAATCATTTAATACCTGGGAATAAGAGAGATAAAATACTGACTAGGGGTAACTACAAACAATAGTTTCTGAAGAAATAGTGACACAAGGCATTAGAAGTCGTGAGCAGGAAGTGGTGCGTTCCCTGGCTTTAGAGGAAATTGAAAAGTTTTAAATGTTAATGTTTGCAAGTTTTGACTCTATTTAAGGGAAATAAATCGGATCAAAATGTACCTTGTCAGAAGATGTCTAATTTCTGAACAGACACTGAATATGATTTTTTATTTGTAGGTGTATCATTTTGTATCTGAAGGTTACTCATTTCCCCGTGACCCCATTAGGGAACAAGCGGGGACGATAATGGATGGATGGATGGTTACTCATGTGTACCTTATATATTACGTTGCCTTGAACAACTTTATAAACTGAGTTTTGTCATGAAAGTAAAGAATGCTGGGCCAGCAGTGTGGCTGAAGTTACATTGCTGAATACCCTTTGGTTCAATAATCAAGATTTTCGAGGATTGTTCCAGAAGTACTTTTTACTACAATTTTCTACCAGGTTAAGATGAAGTGACCCTTTTCCCGGGGAACACATGATACTTCAGACAACTTTTTTGTGTGTACCTTAACTATCATATTTACATATGTCCATGATCTGGACCTGTGTTTTTGTTCTCTCAGAGGTGTCATTCAGAAACTTGTTTCCAGCCTCTGAGTGCATATAAAGTGAACTTAAACCAGTGAATTCTTTCCTCTTACTTGACATACCACGAAGTAGCTTCTGCTTGTCCAGTTTCCTCTTTTTCATAAGTACAGAATGTTCTCAGTAGCCTGAATGAAAGCTTTAATTCCAGGAAGACAAACAGGACTCTATTTCTTGAGTTATTTACTGATTGATTAATTTTTCCTTTTCTTCTGATGATGGTTTCTATTATGCATGTGACTTTATTGCACTCTGATTCTATCAGAATAAATGACCTTGTCCTTGGACTAGACTGTTGTGTGACATGTCATTGCTTATTATCCATCCATCCAATATCATTACCGCTTCTTCACGGGGAGAACTGGAGCCTATCCCAGTGGTCAACAGAAGAGAGGCGGGGTACACCCTGGACAGTCCGCCAGTCCATCGCAGGGCCACACACAAGACACACAAGGACAAACAACCACGCACACTCGCTCCTAAGGGCAATCTGGAATCTCCAATCAACCTAACATGCAGGTTTGTTGGACTGTGGGAGAAAACCGGAGAACTCTGACAGAACCCACGCAGACACAGGGAGAACATGCAAACTCCACCCAGAAAGTTCCTGGGTCCCCTGGGACTCCAACCCAGAACCTTCTTGCGGGGAGGCGACGGTGCTAGCCACCACACCACCGTGCCGCCCCGTTTTTGCTTATTATCTGGTGCTTTATGCATGAAGCTGAACTGACGATTCATCATCATCACAGGTGACTTTAACCAAGT